GGATTTAGGATAAATGTATGGTGTAAAAAAGTAGTGATGAAAGAAGGCTTTAGGATCAATGTATGGTGTAAAAAGTAGTGATGAAAGAAGGCTTTAGGATCAATGTATCGTGTAAAAAAATAGTGATGAAAGAAGGCTTTAGGATCAGTGTATGGTGTAAAAAGTAGTGATAAAAGAAGGGTTTAGGATCAATGTATGGTGTAAAAAGTAGTGATGAAAGAAGGCTTTAGGATCAGTGTATGGTGTAAAAAGTAGTGATGAAAGAAGGCTTTATGATCAATGTATGGTGTAAAAAGTAGTGAGAAAAAAGGATTTAGGATAAATGTATGGTGTAAAAAGTAGTGATGAAAGAAGGCTTTAGGATCAATGTATGGTGTAAAAAGTAGTGATGAAAGAAGGCTTTAGGATCAATGTATGGTGTAAAAAGTAGTGAGAAAAAAGGATTTAGGATAAATGTATGGTGTAAAAAGTAGTGATGAAAGAAGGCTTTAGGATCAATGTATGGTGTAAAAAGTAGTCAGTGTATGGTGTAAAAAGTAAGTGATGAAAGAATGCTTTAGGATCAGTGTATGGTGTAAAAAGTAGCGATGAAAGAAGACTTTAGGATCAATGTATGGTGTAAAAAGTAGTGATGAAAGAAGGCTTTAGGATCAATGTATGGTGTAAAAAGTAGTGATAAAAGAAGGGTTTAGGATCAATGTATGGTGTAAAAAATAGTGATGAACGAAGGCTTTAGGATCAATGTATGGTGTAAAAAATAGTGATGAAAGAAGGCTTTAGGATCTGTGTATGTTTTAAAAAATAGTGATGAAAGAAGGTTTAGGATCAATATATAGTGTAAAAAAGTAGTGATGATAAAAGATAGTGTTTTATATTGTTCGCTGTAGAAGTAGTTTGTTTGTTTGTTTTAGTATGTAGTTGCACACTGGGTCTATCTGCGCTGTGTTCTTATTGTGTACCGAACCCCAAATTCTAGCATTTAAGCCCTCAAACTTGCTCTTAAGTCATCGAAGGACTTTTAATGTTCAAGGCCAATGACAGAGCATTTTGAAATATGGTTTCGAACTAATGCTGTCTCTCATTGTATTTAGATATAATTGAATCGACAACACACGTTTCACAAACTTCAGTGTGGGACATTTCATCGGAGTGTTTGAATTTATTCTTTCAGGTTTTATTAAAATCTGCTTCAGTCGTCAGTGCTGCTAAAACAGCTTATAAAAATGTTTTAGCAAATACTAAGCAAAAATATTGTATACATACTATCCTATATTAATTAACGTTGCGTGTTTGAAAATGTGTTTGTTCGCGAACTTCTCCCACAGTTTTTGAGCTAGCAGGACTAAACATGAAGGGGAGGGGGGTCTCAGAATGTCCTGGTGAGACTTACTAATCTATATGGGTTAGCACTCCTCCTCCCCTACTAAGTGACTACCAAGGGTGGCTAAAAAAGTGCCTAGAAGAAACCCCCAGACATATTGAGGAGCAAGCAGTAGCTTTTCAGAGTCGGTTAACCCGAATATGGAGTCGGGTCTTGTGTTACTGCCCCCCCCCCTTCTTAGAAGCCTGGGGCTGACATGTTTGGAACTATGTTGGCATATCCACTCCCAAACAAGTGGGTCCAAACCTGGGACATTTGCTCACTTACCAAGAGTGGATGTCCGAAGAGAGTTTTTTTTTTCGGCTAGTGATCCCCCCCCCCCCTGGGAATAATATGCAAGTTAGATCGGTACATTGAGGCCTCTGTGAATTAGTCGGAATCGAATTGAAGCAGAACCGCAGGTATTTTATGCGAGTGTATATTTATTAAAGCTCTTCTACAATGTGACGATCGATGTTATGAAAATAATTCTATGTTTTCTTTGTTCAATGTACGAGTGACATAACTAATTATCAGTATTCCCTTGTTAAACGATCTTTTAACAAATTATCAATGGATAAAATTAATGACATAACTAATTATCACTATTCCCTTGTTAACCGATCTTTAACAAATTATCAATAGATAAAATTAATGACATAACTAATTATCACTATTCCCTTGTTAAACGATCTTTTTAACAAATTATCAATGGATAAAATTAATGACATAACTAATTATCAATATTCCCTTGTTAAACGATCTTTTAACAAATTATCAATAGATAAAATCAATGACATAAATATCACTCCCCTAATGTTAAACGATTTTAAGCAACTTGTCAAACTAAATGATGTTATGTTTTTTACGGTTGTTTAAAATACAACAGCATGATATAATAACAATGCTGTTTTGTATGCTGCTGACCTTGTCGCGAGAATCAGAATTGTTAAAATACCTATATACATAATCCCATTAAAACAGTTTTGTACGTGTCTTGTCAGCCGCGATGAAGCCGTAATAGCGAAATCTTGGCTTAAAAAATATTTTTATTGACAGCCCAATGTGGCGTTGTTCAAAAACAAACGAACAAGCAAAGCTTGTGAAACATAAAAACTTTGGAACAACAACCAGACGAAGCAACATGAACATAAATTTACGTATTCTTAGAAACAAAAACTAACCCGAAGATGTAATTACGTAATTATTATAAGGATACGATAATTTATTTTGTTTGTTTGATGT